TTCTCCTGTGGAGTGACAGGTGGGTTTGAACCGCTGAGCACTTAACCACTGTGGTGAGAAGGCAGACCCTGAATAATTGTGATGAGCATTACGGGGAGGGAAGCACTGGAGACTGAGAAGCACATGGCACAGTGTGGTCTGGGATCAGAGAAGGTGCCTGAAGTTGAAATGGTGTTATGAATTAAACTGTGTCCCCCAAAAATATGTGTTGTAAATATTTTGTGTCCCCAAAAAACTATGTTGTAAATCCTAATCTCTATGCCTGTAGTTATAATCCCATTTAAGAATGGGTTGTCTTTCTTATGTTAATGAGACAGGATTAGTGTAGGGTGTGTGTCTTGAGTCAATTTCTTACAAGATATAAAAGAAACAGAGAAGGTAGATGACACACCACATGAAAATCACCAAGGAGCCAAGGAATAAGGAACTTCCTCCAGAGCTGAGAGAGAGAGACAGTCTTCCCCCTAGAGCTGGTGCCCTGGATCTCAGACTTTTAGCCTCCTAAATTATGAGAAAATAAATTTCTGTTTGTTAAAGCCACTCATTTGCGGTATTTTTGTTATAGCAGCACTAAGGGATATTGTTGTAAGCTGCCAAGGAGTTGGTCCCTGGTCCTGTGTCCTGCCTCATTCTCATGATCAGTTGGGGATTGAACCACTGTGATCCATAGGGTTTTCATTGACTAATTTTTAGAAGGCCTTTCTTCTTAGTCTGTCTCAGTCTGGAAGCTCCACTTAAACCTGTTCAATATCATTGTTGTTGTTGTTATTGTTATGTGCTGTCGAGTCGGACCCAACTCATAGAGACCCCTCCTTGGGTTTCCGAGGAAGTATCACTATGGAAGTAGATTGCCCCATCTTTCTTCCAAGGAGTGGCTGGTGAGTTTGAACCGCCAGCCTTCTGGGTAGCAGTCAAGTGCCTTAGGCACTACGCTACCAGAGCACAAACCTCCACTGACAGACCAGTGGTGACTGTGTGTGAGTTGCATTGTCTGGGAACCACACCTGGTTCTCCAGGCTGGAAGGCCATCCGTGAACCACTACTGTGTTGTCTAGTCTGTCTGGACCTGAGAATTTTTATTTGAAAACGAGAGAGAATATGGCAGGAGCAGGATGATGTGATGGCTTTTAAAGCATATGATTGAGAAAAAAAAAAAAAAAATGCTGGGATAAAAGTAAATGTTAAAGACTGACTATATGTGTGTGTGGTCACATCCATATTTGATGATTCGTTCAATAATTAGTTAAATAAACGTTGACACCTGTCCATTATATATTTGCTTAAGAATTCTGTTTTTAACATTTTGAAAATCATACACTACAAAGCCCATCACGCCACCCTACTCCTGCCATACTCTCTATTGTTTTCAAATAAAATTTCTTAGGTCCAGACAGACTAGACAACTCATATAACAGGGCACTGAGATTTCTGACCAAGAGTTTATGTCCAGATGTGTATCCCAGAATCTCTCCTCTCTGTTCTTCTAAGTAAAAGAAGTGGTTGATGGTGAGTGTCAACAGGGTGGAAGTAAAACTTCCTGCCTTGGGAAACCAGGTGTGTTGAGACTGCACATTCGTCCCTGCACCCTCATTAGATGTGGACTAGACTTGGAAGGACCCAGCATTTTTTTTTTTTTAATTTTTATTGTGATTTGGGTGAAAGGTTACAGAGCAGATTCATTTTCCATACAGCTGTTCATACACATTTTGTTTCATGACATTGACTGCAATTCCCCACAGTGTAACACCTCTCTTCCCACTTCCTCCCTGTAGTTACCTCTTCCCTGTGTCCTTCTTTCCTATGCATTCCTGCCCCCTGAGCTCTCTCCCTGTGCAAACGCTGCCCTTCTGTTCTCCCACAATTTGTTGTTCTAAGGAATGTATCTACCTGATGTAAATGTTCACCTCATATGCTTGTCTGTTGTTTGGCTGGAAGCCATAGGAATTAGTTCAGTTCCAGACCTGAAGGGTAACTAGGGACCACAGTCTCAGAGGTCTCACCAGGCTCTAAGGATCCAGCATTTCTGACTATTGCCATTGGGTGTGGCTTTAGTTCTGCTCTGTGACCAAAGGCAAATAACAACAACAACTGTGACCATGACAACCAGGAGAAAAGTGACAAAAGTATGGGACTGGGCACCCTTCCTTCTGCTCTCCTTTTCTGTTACTGGACATGATTTGTGGGAAGAACGTCACCTCTGTGTTCAAACAGCAGAGGGAAACCAAACACCCCTCCAGAGTCAAAAGCTATTCCAGCTGACGGCAGAATCTTACATATGTGTAAATTTTTTTCTGTCACCACACAGGTAAATCTCAGGAGCTTCCTATGAAGGAGTATACAAAAAACTATGTGTGTTTTTCATTGTAAATAGATAATGAATAGCTTGACCCCCAATTGTGTATATAGTGGTGACACATGTTAATTGCCATTCACTTAGGCCAAGATGAAGCTGTGTCACCAGCTGCTGAGATTTGCAGTCATTACTTTTTATCTGGGTCATTATTTTGTGTGAAATAATGGCTCCTGTTCCTATGACAAGCAGATCCGTCTTACGATGAGGTGGTAATTAACTCATTTTGTCATTGTACTATCAAGCAGGATAAAGCTCATATTCTTCTCTGCATATTAGAATGGTTTTTCTCCTTAAGCACAATGCCCTAGTATTAATTTTCCACCAAATGGTTTAAATTAGCAGAACTTTTGCATTGAGGACTTGCATAAAAGGAGGGAGAAGAGATTTCATTATTTCTCACAATTAGGAAAAATAAAGACATCTGTATCAGTGTCATGTAAAATTAACTGAAGATGCCATAATTTCTAGCCCCTCTCCATCATGGTTTTTCACAGAGGGTGAAAGGACTTGTATGAAGATGATGCTGTTCCTTCCAGTGGGGTCTAGTGATTTCTCTTAGTGCTTATGCTGGTCAGATTAAATCTGGGTTACTGAGTTTTGTTTTCCCTCTTTGCATCCTGCTGTGCTCCATCCAACCAGCTCTTTATGTAAATTATTCATTATGGACCACAAAACATTGAAATTGTGGAGTTATGGGCAGACTTGGAGAGAATGAATTTTCCAAGTGCTAGAAATGAATGCTCAAGAGAAGTGTTGCAAGACTGTGAGCCCACCTGAATTCAAAGCTTTGGGACAAAGGCTAAGCCAGCCTCATATGTCTGGAGCCTGCCTTGTGTGACTGGCAGGATGAGAGGCACTCTGGAATTTCCTATTTTCAGAGTTCCAGAGAATTGTAAAGAAGACAGTGCTAAAGAATGAAGAATTTACATGTTCATCTTCAAATTACTTTATGTTCTTAGGAGCTTCCTGGGAAATGGCTTATATATTTGAAAGTCCCTTCAGAGAGTAATTGTTTTCCATTTTGTGCTTCATAATAATTCCATGCAAGAAGCCAGATGGGCAGTGTTGTCTCCCTTCCCAACATAAGGAAACTAAGCTTAGGAGTAATTAGAGATTTGCCCAGGGGCTATGACAATTGAGTCAGTCCTTCCATCAAAGGAGCACTAGTAGATGGCAGAGGGCCTTTAGAGGAGCAGGAAGGTTCTTTGACTGGTTGGACTGGCTTGGGTTTGGAGAGAAGGTGTGGTGTAAACAAGTCAGGGAGTAACTCTTGAGGAGACCAAGGGGTGAGGTGAACAGAGTCATTTTTGGTGTGAACAGGAGCAGGGGGTGAGCAAGGCTGGAGAGTGGAATGAAGGCTCAGGGCTAACTAAGAAAGACCCAAGTCATATTTGGCTGGAATGTGGGATAGAAAAAGGGAGAAGGAAACTGTTCTGAACAGGCTTCTGTTGTTACATGGAATACAGCCCTACTCTATCTGGCTCAGGCTGGTTAGATGGGCTTTACTGTTACTGCAAGGATGC